AGTTTTTTTGGTTTTTTTGTTTTCCCAGATAGGGCCTCACTAAATTACCCAACCTAGGTCCGGGGATACAGTTCAGGAGCACAAGAACCCACCTGGCAAGTGCAAGGTCTTCAGTTCAATTCTCAGTACAAAGAAAGAAAGAGAGAGAGAAAGAGAGAGAGAGAGAGAGAGAGAGAGAGAGAGAGAGAGAGAGAGAAAGAAAAGAAAAAAAGAAGTCCATAAATTACCCAAGCTGAACTCAACCTTGAGAGCCTCCTGTCTCAGCCACATTTGGCTTTTTTTTTTTTTTTTTTTTTTTTTTTTTTTTTTTTTTTTGTATTTGGTACAGGGTCTACAGTGTCTCACTACACAGATCAGACTTGTAGTGATCCTCTTATTTTCAACCTCTCAAATGCTGGGATTACAGGCACATGCCACCACACTCAGTCTCAATCCCCTTCTCAGAGGGCCCTGGGGATGAGATCAGCACGGCAAGCTGGGGATCGAACCCCAGTCCCTGTATCTGCCAAAGCAGATGCTTTAGTCCGCTGAGCTATCAGGCCAGCCCTGGTTTTTTGTTTTTAAACAGAGTAATAATCTAGTAAAGAGTAGAGGAGAAGGATGAGGGGAGTTGGTGGCAAGAGGCCTGACTAGCCCGGCTGTAGGGCAGACATAGAGTGCTGCCCACTAAGAGCATGGGCAGGGGACCATCCAGCTGGGCAGCTGAGTGTGAGGATGGATAGAGAGGAGGCAATGGGCAGAGAGGAAGAGGCCTCAGTGGTCAACTAGGAGGACAGGCAAGTGAATGACCAAGGGAACCAGCAGCAGGGGCAGCATGGGACCCACACGAGCTGGCAGAGATATATCCTTCTGAGCTCCCTCTGGCTTGTGAGGCTGTGTGGGTGCAGAACAGAGCCTTGGGGAGCAAGGAAGGCCCCTCTGTGCAGAAAGTGGTGTCTGAGCTGAAGTGGGAGCTGAAAGTAATGCACAGTAAAGCATTTTCCAGGCAGGGAAAGTGGCAACGCCAATGTGCCAAGGTAGGGGCAACTTGGAGTACAGAGGAAGAGAAAGAAGCTGTGGTGGCTTGATCCTGGTGAATGACAGACAGTGGCCTGGAATGCCACCCAAGAGGTGGGCCCGAGCCAAACCACAGAGCCTTCTGGGCACAGTAAATACTTCAGTTGTTTTTCAAGTGTGACAGACAGCCTGTAGAAGGTGTTACGTGGGTTGGTTAAAGGTCACTGCGGCGCTGGGCAGAGGGGAACTGGGTGCTCCTGGCAGCCTGGGGAAGGCAGCTCCAAGGGGTGGGAGCCTGCAGGCTGGTGGCCAGGCAGGCAGTCCTTCTGCAATCCATGGGGACTTGTAAGTAGGTCTGGGCTAGAACTGAAGGAGGCAAACACAGGATGTGACCCCAGGTCCCTGCTCCGGGCACAGCTACCAATCTCCTAAACACCCCTGAGCTGGTCTCTTCTCTCTTACCACAGGCCTGGGCATGAGCTTCAGCTTCCAGTCCAGCATCACAGTGTTGGGCTTGTACTTCGTCCGACGGCGGGCCCTGGCCAATGCATTGGCCTCCATGGGCATCTCCCTGGGCGTCTCCCTTTGGCCTCCATTCGCTCGCTATCTCTTGGAGAACCTAGGCTGGAGGGGCTCCTTCCTTATCTTCGGCGGAGTCCTCCTCCATTGCTGCGTCGCTGGGGCCATCATCAGGCCTGTAGCCCCCATTGTCCCCAAGACCAAAGAAGATCCCCCTCTTCCTTCCAAGACACCCGCACAAGGCTGCCTGGCAGCATGTGTTTCAGCCGTCCAGCACCATCTGGCCTTTGACATCTTGAGACACAATGCAGCCTTCTGTATCTACACACTGGGTGTGACATGGGTGTTCATGGGCTTGTCGCTGCCACAGATCTTCATGGTGCCATATGCCGTAACGCATGGAGTGGAAGAGTACAGGGCAGCCCTGCTCGTCTCCACCGTGGGCTTCTGCAACATCTTCCTGCGGCCTGTGGCGGCACTGGTAACAGGCCGGCCATACTTTGCCCGCTACCGCAAGTACCTGTTCACCCTCGCATTAGTGTTCAATGGACTCACTAACCTGGTGTGCGCATTGTCGGCCAACTTCTGGGTGTTAATAGGCTACTGCCTGGTGTACAGCGTGTCTATGTGTGTCATTGGCATCTTCCTCTTCCAAGTCCTTATGGAAATTGTCCCCATGGACCGGTTCCCCAGTGCCCTGGGGCTCTTCTCCATCATCACTGGCATTGCTGCCCTCGTCTCCCTACCACTGGCTGGTGAGGCTCTGCAAGGCATCCAGGGGTGCCTGGGGGGCATGGGTGGGGCAGAGATTTGGGCAGATCCGGATAGAGCTCCAGGGGAAGGGCGCTAGCATCTGTGATTTTCCAAGGTACCCTAGGCAGTGGTAATGAACCACCACGAGTGTCACAAAAGTCTTTAGTGTCACTGAAAGTTTCACCATCACTGCCGTAGGGACTGTTCTCCACCTGGTGGGAATAAGGACACTGGGAATTATGGGTTTGCCCACCAGCCCTACCTGAGTTCATCTTAGTCTCTGTACTTCAGTTTTCTTTTTTTTTTTTTAATTCATTTATTTTATTTATTTGTGTGTGTGTGTGTGTGTGTGTGTGTGTGTGTGGCCAGCTCAGCCCACCAGGGGGCGGGGCGGGCTGGCATGTGGTGCTGGGGGATTGAACCGCGGTCCCTGTGCTTTGCGAAGCTTGTTCTAAGTAGGTGCTTTAGACCACTGAGCCATCTCGCCAGCCCTCAGTTTTCTTTATCAATGAATTGAAGGGGATAAGACAGAATCTATCTGTCTACCCTGCATTACCCTGCGTTAAGCACTAAAGAGTTTAGTGGAAAACCTGGCACATGACAAGCACTACACATGTCTCCTGTTTAGCATCCTGGTCCTCTTTCTTCCTATCAGATCTGCGTAAGTCGGTTCCCCTGAGCCCCAGCATCAACTTCAGAATGCAGAGATGCTGCGGTGATGGCACACAGCTGTCATCCCAGCCACTTGGGAGGCCGAGGCAGAGGACTGCAAAGCTGAGGGCAGCCTGGGAATCCTAGTAACTTAGCAAGAACAGTTATCAAAATAAAAAAATAAAATGTACCAGAGATGTAGCAAATGGGAGGAAGCCTGGGTTCAGTCCCCAGTAATGAGGGAGGAGGAAAAAAAAATACAGCACTTGCCCTGATCATTTATTCATGCGGGCCAGTCACTAGGTGCACATGGCCAAAACCCCTCCTCTTGGGGCTTACCTCCTAGAAGAGCTGGGAAGGACCACTACAGGGATTTATGCTCAGAGAGAAACAAACGGAAATTGGAAATGGAGAGGGAGTGCCAGGCAGCTGTGAGTGACTTTCAGAGTCAACGAGGGAAGGGAGGTGAAGCCCTTGGTGGGGGGGGGGGTGTCAGCGAACAACACATAATTATAGTAATTATGGGAAGAACTGGGAAGTTGACTCTAGCCTAATGGGACTCTCTTGAATGTCACACTTTTTAGAAATCCTGGTTTCTAAGAGAGTTCTACAAGCTTGTAAATGGAGAAAGGGATCCAGGAGAGGGATGGGGCGTGAGAGGAGGCTACAAATATCTGACTCCGCCAGCCCTTTTCTCCTTGCTCTCTTTCATGAAGGGTTCTCTTCTGGCCTGAAGACTCCTACCCAGGCTGGAATAGGTTTAGTACTTCCTCCCTTCTTTCATTCATCAAATATCTGAGAGCCTGTGGGGTACTAGCAGTGATTCCTTGTCCAGAAGAGTCCAAAATAAAAATCTTTTAGGAAACATGTAAGTTAGGAGGAGGAGGAGGAGGAGGAGGAGGAGGAGGAGGAGGAACAGGAAGAGGAGGAGGAGGAGGAAGCTTGGTAGGCGGTTCTGGGCAATGACCTAACCTGCTCTCTGTCCCCTAGGCTTGGTCCTGGACACCACTGGCAACTTCTCCTACGTTTTCTACCTGTCAGCCTTCTTCCTCACCTCAGCTGGACTCTTCATGACTGGAGGCTTCTATTACGTGAAGAAGAAGGAAGAGAAAGGCACACAACTCAAGGCAGTAGAAACCATCTCAGAGACTAGCCTGATTCAGGGGCCTGAATCCCAAGAAGGGAAGGACAGTTCCAAGGAGCAGCCACCCCCTGAGATCGTGACCAGTGTCTGAGGTCTGCTCAGGGAGTGACATTCCTTCCAGCCAGCCAACTCCAGGAGCAGGCCTTGCTGGCTTTCTCCCTTGGCTCCAGGGAAGGTGACTCTGAGTCCTGACAAGGGCAGCCATGACAAGAGCAGCTTGGTGGGTGGCTTACTGCAGCTCTCATGCCCCAGCACACCGGACCTTCTCACCCAATCTGCGGTCCTCCAATGTCAGCTGTCCTTGTCTTTCTGTGGCCTCAAGACACTTCCTCCAGGGGTACAAGCAATCAGCCTTGAACCAAAGGACAATGTGGCACACAAGTGGCTGGATCTCACACTGACTGGAACCTTGGGAGAGGCAGCAGTGGAAGGGCAGGCCAGGAAGTTGGCCTGGATGCCAGATCGGGGCAGAGTGAAGGCCAGGTGGATCACCTGCCTGTACTTGTTCCTGTACAGACAGCAGAAAGGGAGTCCTTGAATGGGTTCCCAAGTCTGGGAAGTCTGAGGTGTCCCCTGGTACCTCAGCAGAGTCTGCTCGTGGCTCTTTTCTCTGTATTCCACTATCTCCTTGGTGGGGAGGTTTAGTGATGGAGCCCATGGAAGCCAGATGTTTCACTGATCAGAGAAGGGGAAGGGTTGCTAAGCAGCCCAAGCACTGTGTTGAAAACAGGACTGCATTTGCAACAGAAGCCCCGTGACCCCTCCTGGCCTCCTGAGGCCTTCTCCCCCACTGTGTCATAAATGTCAACTCTAAATTCGCAACACTTGGGAGGCTGAGGCAGGAGGATCACTGAGTTTAAGGCCAGTCTAGGCAACATAATGAGTTCAAGACAAACATGAACTACAAAGTAGTCTCTGTCTCAAAATTGAAAGAAAAAAGAGTGTCAGCTGACAACAGTAGCTGGCTGGGCCTGTGCCTTTGCCTAAAAGCCACAGCTATCCCCTCACACACGCTCTTGGCTTGTGCCTCCCTGAAGTCACACCAGGCCTGGATATGACCCAGGCTTGTCCCAGAAAGGTACACAGGAAATGCGAAAGCAGTTTGTTTAAATTATACACAAAAAGCATTCCCTGCAGTAGATCATAAACTCTGAACTAATAAACTGGAAAACAAGCTTAGAGTAAGTTTCCTCCCTTCCCTTTACGGTTTGGCTGGTGCTGCTCAGCCTCAGGCCTTGTTTGCCGATTCAGATTCAGCCAGGCTCAGCCAGGCTCCAGCAAGAAAATCTTACAGGGAGAAATTACTTTATTTTCATCACCTGACCACCAAGTCTGCCTCCTCCCCATCTGGCATTAAGCATCCTTGGGCTGTCCTTCCTCCTCCAGGGCCCTGCCACAGTGCCCCCTGATGACCAAAAGGGGTAGTGCAGCAGGCAGAAGAAGGCTCTGGACCCTGGTCCTGCATTTCACTGACAAAACTCTGCATGGCTCTGGGCAAACTCTTTGCCATCTCTAGGCCTTGAAAATTATAGTCAGTCTGGATGAGCTAAATTCACTGCCAATCTGAAAAGTATGAGCTGGGCGTGCTGGCACACAGCTGTAATACTTGTGCTAAGGAGGCTGAGTGGGAGAGTTGAGAATTCATGACCAGCCCAGGCTACCTAGTGAGACCAGGTCTCCATACAAAAGAAAAACCAGAGTCTGACCCTGTCAGTGTCCCTAAGATCCCCAGGGCCTTTCAGCTGCCCACCCAGTCCTGAACTCAGCTTCCAACGCCAGCAAGGGTTCTGAAGGAACAGTGCTGGGACACAGTTTTTCCATCTCAGCTAAATGGCAAAGGAGGAGGTTGAGGCTAATAGGCAGGTACTTGAGGTGCTGGTATCCATCAGGCTTTGAGATGTTGTGTCTCCAGAAAGCATTCAAGGAACAAAGATAGGGGGCCAGGGAGATGGCTCAGTGGAATAACCGCTTCGCTGGCAAGTGCAAGGGCCTGAGTTCAATCCCTGGTTCCGCAAAAAAAAAAAAAAAAAAAAAAAAAGGAACAAAGATAAGGCTGGCAAAACAGCTTAGCAGACTAAATGCCTGCTTAAGCAAGCACAGAGACCAGGGTTCAATCCCTGGCACCATAGGCCATGCTTCCCACACCCCAAGCTGCAAGCTGTGAGCTGCATAGTGAGACCCTGTACAAATACTTTTTTTTTTTTTTTTTGTGGAACCGGGGATTGAACTCAGGCCCTTGTGCTTGCCAGGCATGCGCTTATTCTACTGAGCCATCTCCCTGGCCCCCCAAATACATTTTCTTTAAAAAAGGAGCAAAGATACTGATGAACCTTAAACATAGGGAATCTTGACCTCATTTTCCTCCAAGCAAAATGGGCAACAATCTCTGGGCAAAAAGGAAAAATCTCCAGGCAGAATTCCTCAACCAGTATTTATTGAGCATCTACTGAGTGTCTCAGACTGTTCAGAAAGCAATATTGCTTGTCACTGTCCTCAACACAAAACCAAGACTAAGAATTTTTCCTCAAGGAGGAGGGCGCCTTGAGGCCTTAGGATCAGATCTGACACCAATGAGGGAGACTGGAATGGCCCATCTGATTCCAGAACCACATTTCGCTGATTCCCTGAGAATCTTCTAGACAGGGCCTGGGGCCATTCATGTGGGAGAAGGGTGACTGTCCGTGGAAAGGCAGAGAAGACCCTTGGCCACCCTGAACTGAGACACTTCCCCAGGCCCACACAGGCCAGCCACAGTTGCCAAAGGGTCTGAGACTCACAATGAGCAGCCAGGGTACCTCAGTACTCAAAACTCCTGCCCCAGCTGTGCACTGGGACCCAGATGGCCACAGGGACCCGAACCTCAGAAGCAGGGGCTCCCATTCCCTGACCCAGGCCCTTAATCCAGGTCCAGAGCACAGCTACATGATCCTTGTCCTCAGAGAGCTCACAGCTTAACCCGCATCTACCCCTACATTTTCTTTCTTTCTTTTTTTTTTTTTTTTTAAGTCAGGCCTCTGCACTTTCCAGGCAAGCACTTATTC